ATGTGGGAAAGGCTGGAAAATGAGCCTACCAGGCCAGCACACATTGCACGTGGGGGACTCAGCTTCCCTCCAGAAGCAGAAAGGAGAGAGGCGCCACCTAGCTAGGGGCTGCAGTGGGAGCCTGGTGGGTGGAAGAGATTCCTGTGTCTTTTATGTCATCTCTCTGCTGTCCCCTTATGTGGCTGACGCCCCCACAACAGGAATGAGAAAAACTCACTCAGGGCTAAGGTTTCTCCAGGACTCTGCTGCCTCCAGCAGGGGGAAATGAAAGGGAACAATTTAAAACTTATCTATGTCTAACAGCTAAGTGAAGACCAGATAGATTCCTCAGAGACGTGGAACTTTCTAACCTGTCCAGATCCCAGGGCAGCCAGTCTGTATGTCCTGCTGGGCACTAAGGGGGTTGCTTAGCTCTGTTCTTCAACCCTGTCTGTGCTGAGTACAAAGACTTCTGGAGGTTTGTTTTGGGGCTTTTTTTTTTTTAAGAAAAGAATCTTTAATGAGAAACACTTCTCATTTGAGGATTCTCAGTAGCCTGCCTGTCTGCTTGCTGAATGCCCATTGAAGGCATTGCCCTTTAACAAGGGCCATGAAGCCAGTGTTTCAGGCTCCACAGCTCCAGCTAATCCCTTTGCTGCGTGCCTTTCCTGGATTCCTTACGCAGACCTAACTGCCGTAGAAGTCACGAAGGACTGTGATTGCATAAAGATTACCAATTCGGGCTCCTGGAATGTCACTAACCTGAGCCTGGCCAGCTTCCCAGCACAGCCATAGACAAACTTGGTATTAACAGCTCTCCCAGTCCTGCTACATGTTCAGGGCAATAGCTTTGTGTTTATAACTCTTCTCCTAACCAATATTAAAATGAAATGGTCCGAAGCCAAGTACATTTCAGTCTAAACCTTTGAGAGGTGGATCCCACTGAGTGCAGGCAGCCTTATTTGGAAGTGGCCCCTGCTGAATCCTGGGCTCCAGCAGACCAGGGAGTTCTGCAGGGTCCAGTGACAGCAGACAGCACGGGCTAGGGGCAGGGGCCAAGATCCCTTACTAAGTGGATTCCCAAGATATAAATCCCTGTATACAAGTATGTTTATCTCCCCAGCCCCCACTGGTCCTAGCCTCTCCCCATGTTTTACACGGCAGACATGAAAAATGTCACACATCAGAAGCTAGGTACACTGCCTCTTTTTTACCTTACACAAGCCTTTCCTCAAATCTGCCCTGGTGGCCTGCCTTCTAGCTTGCCCCGTGCTGGGCCCTACCCCGTGCTCTGCTCACTGGGTTACTGATGTTCCTTAGGTCCCACAGGTCCCAGAGAGACCAGAAGTCAGACAGCCCCTGGCAGACACAGGCACCCAGCTCATGTGGGCCCCTGTCAGGTAACACAGCCATCTGGGAGCAGCCAGAGTCAGGTAGCCTTCATCCTCCTGTGCCCTCTTCACTGCCCTGCTGCCTTTCTCACCCCTCCTCCAGCCTGAGCCTCCAAGATAGCTTAGGGCACAGTACTGCTGGCAAGCAGAGTGAGCCACCACTGGCCATGTTCCACCCGACTGTCACCCTTCACCCTCCCCAAACCCTTGCAGCCCTGCACACTCTGAGAGAACCTTCCTCAGTCCCATCTCAGAGTCCATTCCTTATCACCAAATGCCCAGCCAGCCTCAGCATGGCTGGCTTTGAGCCCCCCCCCAAGCAGCAACGGTTGGCATGCGTGCCTGCCCTGTCTGTACCCCACAGGGAGCCCTGTGAGAGAGGGCAAGGAAGAGGGCAGTAAGGCAAGACCCAGAGAAAGAAGGGAATGCCCCTTACTCTGTTTCCACTGGCATTAGGAGGATTTCCTCTTAGAAACTCCTAGGAGTCCCCTTAAAGTCAACACTTCTGGTAGATGGGAGTCCAAGGTCACACATTAGGGACAAACCAAGGCCTAGAATGGAGCCCAGGTGCTGCCTACTTGCTACACTCCAGAACCTGGAAGCTGCCTGTCTCCAGGGCTCGGAGGGTAAAGGGTGCTGAGAAGCCCTCAGGGCCAGCAGAGGAGGAAGTGGCAGACCTGGTGCTCATCTGAGTGCTGTTGGCCCCTCTTCCCAGGGGGGCAACCGGGACAGAACTGAAGCCTTACCAAGCTCTGCTTACCAGCTGCCTTATGCCCTCTGTGTCTGAGAGCAAAGCCTTGTTTCTTTCCTAAGCAGGATGAAGTGCGTGAACTCTGTGGTGACCTCTCTCAAGAGGGTCAAGGTTTTCACTTTTGTGCTGGCCCATGATTTATGTTCAGAACTTCCCAGAAAAGCCTGTGTTATTTATACTCCCATTTAGCTTCTAAAAGTATTTTTAAGGCAGCTTATGGAAAATGTATATGCACCACATGCAGCCATAGGCCTGAGGCTGCCAGAAGCCTGACCACTATGTGGGTGACCCTGAGTGGGACTCTGAGTGCAGGGGTGTAGGTCAGTTTCCTGGCAGTGAGATGTGCTGGGGGACACTTAAGGCAAGCAGACCTCAGTGGTGACTGAGCCCCTCACCAGGTGCTATGGGTGCAGGCCCCATGGAGGCGCTCTGCTGGTTCACACCCCGTGAACCTCACCCGGCTTGCTGCCATCATGGTCACCTCCCATTACTGATGCAAACCTGCCCCAAGAGATGGCCGTAGACCTCCTCAGGTCCCAAAGCTAGTGAGTCACTCTCTCTGTGGCCCTATGATAGTATTCGTCTTGAAGAGGATCTCTTCTGGGGACCACTAAAGGCCCCAGGGTGAAGAGTCTGTCCTGTGCTTTCTATGTCCTCAGCCATCCCTCATCACCCCCACAGAGTCTAAATAGGTTCAATCTGTTAGATTTCCTGGGTGAGAGAGCTCCTCTGAGATAAAACCAGACTAGGATCTGAGACTTTACATTTTTTAATTCCCTAGGGTCCTTAAAGCCTTTGCAGTTTATATAGAGTGAAGACTATTTTTAAGACTGTTTCAAAAGACAATTGTACTTGGAGGCTTCCACCTTGATGAAACTGGCCTTACTGTTCCAACTCTTGCCTTAGGATAAGCCCTAGGAACATGAACCCAGGGTTCCTGGAATTTATTTTAATTAAAAGCCTCCTGACCTCTAGTGGGCCACAGTACAGTCCTGCCTTGCTTTCTTTTGCCTGTATATGAACATCTCCATGTAGAGTGCCAGGGCCTCTGGGAATGACTTGGCTTCAAGTCCCCAGAAGGAGCCTCTGCAGAGACATTACACCACCCTGCCCACCAAGCCTGTCTTCCTCCCTGCTCTCTTAACATTCTACTGGAGTGAAAACGGGAAACATTCATAGCTGTGGAACACCTGTGCCACCAGGGTTCAGATTTACAAGCTAAGTCATGCCCCCGTGTTTTAGAAAATGACCTCATCTTCTGCCCAGGCCAATGGCATCATATTGCAGAGGATTCTAGAAGTGGTTTTGAAAGTTAGGGTTGGCCATGTGCAAGAGTGCTGAAACTGCTGGCTCTGTGTGAATCCACAACCAGCTTCAAGGTACCGGGTCCATGCCCTGGAGGTGATGTCCCATCCTAGGGGTTATGACTTCCTGTCCTCATGGCCAGCCCCACCTCAGCAACAGACAACATCCTTCTGACCAAATCCTTTCCAGGCTTCTGGTCTCCCTCACTTCCTATTCTGCCACCAGCTGGATAAAACTCTCTGCTTTGAAAGGACCCTTATGATGCAGGCTGGCCAATGGATAATTTTGCTTTCTTAAAGCCACCTGTGCCCTATAACATAACCTCATCACAGGAATACTATCTCATTTTACCCAAAACCAAAGGGGAGAGATTGTAGAAGGGGTCACTGGGGACATTATAGAGTTCTGCTGGACACACTGGCTTTTGGCAGGGAGCTCCATCCAGCTTCCTACTGCAAACAGGCCTCAGCCCTCATCCCCAGTCCAGCTCACACTTAGAAAACCCTGGCAATTAGGAAATATATTTGTCTACTACGCTCCGGGGCCATTCAGCTGCAACTCCCACTCACAACTCTAGCTTTCACTTCCCTCCTCATTTTCCACACCTGAGATCTTCCTTTTCTTGCTTTCAAGATTAGCATATATTTAAAAATATTTTTGTTATATTATAACCAGTATGTTGAAGTGTTTGGAATGGTTGGGGTTTCTTCCCTCAGCTTCATGTTAATGCAGTTTTCCAGATTTTTAATGTTATAGAAATATGTCCCACAGCTGGGTACAGTGGCTCATGCCTATAATCTTAGCACTCATGGGAGGCTAAGGTGGGAGGATCCCTTGAGCTCAGGTATTAGAGGCCAACCTGAGTAAGAGCAAGACCCTGTCTCTACTAAAAATAGAAAAATTGGCCAGGTGTCATGGCAGTCACCTATATAGTCCCAGCTACTCAGGAGGCTGAAGCAGGAGGACCGCTTGAGCCCAGGAGTTTGAGGTTACTGTGAGCTATGACACCACAGGGATCTAGCCTGGGGCAACAAAGTGTGACTCTGTCTCCAAAAAAAAAAAAAAGAAGAAGAAGAAGAAAAGAACTATGTCCCAAGATTACAGTCAGAGTCAACTGAGTCCACTAAAATAAGTGGACCCTGAGAGGTCTTAACCTCAGTGAGGATGACCAGAGTCATAGAAATCAACCTGAGAACTTGCCAGTGTGGTCTCAGGTATAATTTCACCTTTTGCATGAACTTTGCCTTATGTATCCCTGGGAATGCTAAGATGTATGAAAATTAAGGAAAGTAAATTGCCATAGCCTTCTGAGACCTAAATTCTTTTTTATAAAACAGGAAGATTAATGGGCAAAGGAAAATCTCCTTAACTGGTTTTTCCTATCCAAATACCTATTTTCAAATAGTTCACCACCACTAAAAGTGTATTTGTTCTGTTTCTATTTCAAATCTGTGCACAGTTTTTAAAGTTGTTATTCTAATGCTTTTCTTCAGATGTGGCTGAGCAGTACTTTCAAGAGAGCATGGCTCATCTTAAGGATTCTGAAGGGCCAGGGAGAGCCAAATTTTTTTCAATTCAAGATGAATTTTGCCAGTTTCTACAAATGACTGGACAAAAAGAGGTAAGTGAGTCAGATCACAATTGTCTGGCTATTCACTTGTCGGTCTGCAAGCCTTCATTAAACACCTACTGTGTGCAAAGCACGTGCCAGGCTCTGGAGGGATGTTAATAAGGCCAAGTGGCCCCTCTCTAGCAGCTTACAAATACCTGCTCTTAGACATTATAAAACCAGCCAGGCATGATGACAGCTCACACCTGTCCTCCTAGCACTCTGGGAGGCTGAGACAGGTGGATTTCTTGGGCTTAAGAATTCAAGTCCAGCCTGAGCAAGAGCAAGACCCCGTCTCTACTAAAAATAGAAAAATTAGCTGGGCATCATGATAGGCTTCTGTAGTCCCAGCTACTTGGGAGACTAAGGCAGGCAAGAAGATCACTTGAGAGCCCAAGAGTTTGAGGTAGCAGTGAGCTACGATGCCATGGCATTCTACCCAGGGCAACATAGTGAGGCTCTGTCTAAAAGGGAAGGTATGGAGAAGGGACTGTTTATGACTATATACACTGTCATGCCCACTTACAGAAGATCTTACAGAACTAGAAATGTTGAGAAGCCAGTGGACAGACACTGCTTATTGCAGCCTGCACTTTTAGCTGGGATAGAGGTAGCTCTGATTCTTCTTTTTTCATTTTGGATAATGAATGAAACTTGCTTATCTAGTGAAAACCACACAGTACAGAAGTTACAGCTCTCTCTCTTATACCATTGATCTGTAGAGGTGTGCTTTTACATGGCTTATAAAAATGGAAGGAAATCCACAGTTCCTATTCTTTGATAATTAAACCCTTGGGAACTTATTCCCTACAAAGCCTAACAGCTATCAGGAAGCTACATACTGTGGCTTGATTTTTATATGTGTCTGTGTACATATGTATACATATATAAATGCGCAAGTCCCTGCATAAAATGGGGCAGTGCTTGCACATAACCTGTGCATATCCTCATACCCTCCTGCATACTTTATCATCTCTAGATTACTCAATACAATGGGATATAAATGCTATGTAAAGAGTTGTCATACTGTATTATTTTTATTGCTGTATTCTTATTTGTTATTGCACTTTTCTCCTGAATATTTTTGACCCACAGATATGGAAGGTCAACTGTATATGGATTTGTTTGTTTGTTTTTTCCCAACTCTAACCTATCCTGGTAAATCTTGGACATGAAAAACTTCTTATTTCCCTTTTTTCTGTTTATCTCTTCCCTACAGTTCTTTCCTCATCCTTAATCACCCACCCCTCTCAATTAGGAATGCAGGCTTTTAGCTAGATATTTTCACAAGCCAAAGTAGGGCTACAGTCACCATGACAAGTGGAGTTTCAGTATCTTCCCAGGTCACCCCCCACCCCAAGGAAAGAGGGACCCAGAGGCCTCAGATCCCCTCTGTGCCTCCCACCCATCTCTAGTTGTCTTGTGGAGAGTGCGTAAGTCAGAATGAATGGCAAGGGTTAGAGGGGAGTCTGCCCCCATCATGCCTCACCATCTGCCTCCTCAGTCATTTTCCCTCTAAAATGTATCTTGTCTCCATCCCTCACTTTCCATCCCCGACCCCCCACTCCCCACCTCTTGCCTGGACCACCCCAACCAATCCCTGACTCCCAGCTGCTTCTTCCCATGCTTATCCTTTCCTAATCCACTCAGAGTGAGAAAGCCATAGCATTCCTCTCAAACAGCAAATCCGATCAGTGAGCACTTGTTTGTAAACTGCTCTCACAGCTCCTCAGTGGCCTTAGGATAAGCCAGAATCCCTGTATGGCCCATAACACTGTCCACAGTCTGGATGCCACTGACATTTACAGCTTCATTTTTGTGTCACCACGCCTGCCTGTGCTCCCTAATCTGTGTCCCTGCCACACTGGCCTTTTCTAATTCCCACTTCTGGGCAGTGCCAGCCATTTTTTCCTCCCTCCTTTGAAAGACCCTCCATCTCCAGGCTAACGTTGACTCATCCTCCAGTTCTCTCCACCCACCCCAATTCTTCTCCTCACTATTATTCCTTACAGAACCTGGTTTGATGCAATCAGATATTTCTAAGTACACATTCTTGTGGAGGTTTGATGTCTTCCTGGTGACTAGACCGAGTTTATGAGAGCAGGGACCCTCTTGCCTGCAGTGGGGAATGCTGCCATGGGTGGTAGGTGTTTGGCTGCAGCCCAGCCTCTGACTGCCATGGGGCTTGTGCCCGTTTACCTGTTACTGTCTGGCTTTCTGCCGTGATGTCTGTTGCTGAAGCAGCTAATGGCCAGCGTCACTGGTGCTGTGCCTCACTGCCTGCATCCAAGTCACCCAAATCAGTGTTGCTCAAAAGATGCACCTCACTGTCCCATGCTGCCCTTGGAGATTTTAGCAAATGGACTCTTTTCATTCTAGGGTCATCCAATGCCCTTGTGAGGATAGAAAGAGCTGCTCCTTCCTCAAGTAGATAGAGCCAGCACCTGAGTGGAACATGGACTGGACCTCAACCTTCCATGTGCTCCTCCAGGTGCCCTGGGACAGGGCACAACCTGCTTAGCCAGACGTGCCTCCCCCATGCTGCTTTCACGCTTTGGTTGCAGACCTCTCACTGGAGGTTCTAGCAGGAGTTGGCCAGCAGGGCTGGGCCCAAGCATAGTCCCAGAGATGAGCCTATGGGAGCTGCACTCAGACCATCCCAGATGTGGTCACAGCCTAAGGTGGGCACCAACAGGAAGGCCATCTTTGGGGAAGAGGTGCCTTTTAGGGTAAAATGTAAGCGAAAATCACTCTGCCACAGGTTAAGATACTCTGCATGAGTTTGTCTTCTAGTTGTGCTTTTCTCCCACTCAAGAACCTTTTCTGACTCCATATCCCTGTAAGAAAATTTAAACTCCTCAGCCCGGTTTGAAGGCCATCACTACCTGCCCCAGCCTGCAGCTCCAGCCTCATCTCTCTCTAGTCCCCTTCACACTTTCTCTGTGGCAGTCAAACGAGTCCACCCACTTTCCCTAAACAGGCTGTGTGCTCTTCCTCCGCTTCCTCCTCGGGCTCTGCTCAGCCCATCTAAGACCCTGGTGATTCTTCACTCCTCTCCATTATGCTTCCCTGACTAGCAGAGGCTCTGTTTCATACAAACCCATGAGGCATCGCTTCCATTGTCATCTTGACTTGCCATTTAACTTCCTGCACAGCTGTCTCTAGTTTCCCCAGTCAGGCTGTAATCAGTGCTGAGAGCTTCCTTTAGGAAAAGGAGTCTCTGTCCCCTCTTCTTTCCATCACTGGCTCCTCAAAGCCTGCCAGATAGTTCCTATGAAGAGCTGCCAAACCCAAGCTTCCCTCAGTCTAAGTCCTTGCTCACAGATGTTGGAAGATACTTTCCCTTTAGGCAAGTCTGGGCTTGAGTTCTAGTCCGTTGTGTACTTCCATGGACCTCACCTGGCAAGTTACACCATTGCTCTGCCTCTTCAGAGATTCCTCTGATTCTACCTAAGAAATTGATTTCTACCTCCTTAGCCTCTTTATGTTATTCCCCCACCCTAGCCCAAGCCCCTAACTCCTATCATTGCCAATAAAAGGATTAAAGGCCCTGCGAGCCCTTCTATCTGCAGAGCACCGTGGGGACACCTGTGAGGCTGTGCTGGGGCAGCACCTTCATGCTTGATTGGCATTTAAATTCAGCATTCATTTTCTGCAACTGTAACTGTGCCTTCATGTAGAAGACTGTGGAAGAATTTTGGAGAAAGTGTGCGAGTTTTTCCCCTGCATGTTTTGGTGTCTGCAGAAATTAATATTAGAACTCACATTTTTCATCCCATGTTGGTATGGACAAACTTGACAGGTACAACAAAATGTCAGGCCATGTTGGCATGCTTACTTTTAGTTTCCTAAACTATTTCCTAAGAATAGGAAACCCTGGAGAATATTCTGGATGTTCTATAAATAGATAAATTGCCAGGGAACACTCTGGTTTTCATTTCTGTAAGAAAGGCAGTGTGTATAGAGGAAAGAGGAGTGCGGAACTAAAAGGTATTAAAATTACGGGCTAGTTTCAGAGCCTAGCTACGCCACTGCAGAGCTAGGCTGTGAGCAAGTTCCCTGACTGCTCTGTGCCTCAGTTTCCTCCTCTGTCTAATGAGGATTAAAATTGCACCTATCTGAAGAAGGCAATAAGAATTAAAGGAGATAACACACATCAACCCTTTAGCACACACAGGACTCAATATATGATAGCTTTTGCTCTTACTACTCAACGGCCGTGGACTCCCATAGAGCTGAATTGGGTTTTTGCCACCAGATGCCCTTATGCATTCTCTTTTCATCACCTCTCCCCACACATTCTTTCCATCTCCTGCTCCACCAGAGGAGAGTAGGCTCAGCTCAGGAGACTACTAGACCCATTCCTACAAAAAGTGAAAACAGACATCAGTTACATAATTTTCTCAAGTGGCACTCATCCTAATCAGCTTTTGAACTTTCTCACCAGAGAGCTTTTTGTTCATTTCACAGAGAGCAACCACAATCCTGAAAGAGTCCCTGGAAGCCAAAGTGAGAGCATTTGGCGATTTCAGTCCCGAGGTGGCAGAGACATACCAGTTCCTGAGTGGGGCAGACGTGGCACAGGGGAACTACAGCGGGGCCCACAGGAAACTGAGGAAGGTAAAGCTGGAGCCAGTACCAACTCAAGGCCAGGCTCTCTCCCACCCTCCACTGTCACCTTCTCTCCCACCACTGTGCTCCTTTAAATGCAGCTTTGTAAGTGGCTTCTTTAGATAAAATGACATCTCTTTTGTGGTAGATCTAAGCTGACACTTCTTGAGTGAAAGATAATGGTAATCCTCTTAGACATGTATATTTAAAAAGTGAATTATCAAGTAATTTTACCATGCAAATACTTTTTTTACATAATATATTGATCCTTAAGTTTTATTGTGCTCTTTCTATATACTGAGTTTATAGGAGAATTCTTTTATATTTTCTTCTATTTTCTTTAATTTGGAATTTATTTGTGCAGATGGTGTAAGATATGCATCTAATGTTGTCTTTTTTCCAAATGGCAACCTAGTTGTCCAGCATTGTTTCATTCAAGAACCCATCTATTCCCCGGGGATTTAAGATGACACCTCCGTCATATACTGATCTTCCATATGAACTTGAGTCTATTTCTGGACTTCCACCCTCTTACTCTAGTCTTTCTGTTTATTCATGTGCCAGTATCTTATAGTTTTAATTATATAGATTTTATAGAATAATTTAGTATGTAGTAGGACTGGACAACCCTTATGGCTTTTGGAAGTTCTAGGCATTCTTGTACATTTATTTTTCTACATGAATTTTTGTGTTAATTTGTCTAGCTACATAAAAAATTTATTGGTTTTTTTTAGTATTATTTATATATAAATATTTGGAGCCCTGATATTTCTGTGATATTGAGCCATTCTGTGTAAGAACAAGGGATATCTTCCCATTTGTTCATGTCTACTTTTGTATCTTCAAGGCATATCTAAAGTGTTTCTCACACAGGTTTATTCCGAAGCATTTTCTCTTCTTTATAATTCTTGTAAATGAAAATTTGATCTATTATTATATTTTTGATTTATTTTTGCATATATGAACAGAGTTTGTTTCTCTTTGTTAATTTTATGTACCACTGATTGCCTGGTTCTTTTATTGCTTGACTTAATCTAAGCATTGATTCTTTATAGTTTTCAAAGTATACATACTATGTAGTATTACAACACTTGCAAATAGATACAGTTTTACATTATGTTTTCTAATTTTTATGCCTCTAATTGATTTCTCTTATTTAGTTGCATTGACTCATGCTGCCAGCATACTAAATAATAAATAGTAGTGGCGATAATGGGTATTCTTGCCTTGATGCCTCTAGTGATTCTATCTTGATAGATGCTGGCTTTAGAGCTAAGGTTTGTTGTATTTTATCATTTTAAGAAAGTATTTATCAATTTCCATTTCATAAGTTTTTTAATTACAAATAAATGTTGAATTTTATTAAAGCCTTTTCAGCATCAATGGAGATTATCAGATGATTCTTCTTAGATCACTTAATACGATGTACTTTACTATAACATTGAACCAACCTTGCATTCCTGAAATAAATCCCCTTTAGTCACAATGAATTACTTTCTTTTTTTTTTTTTTTTT